CCAATCATAAATCCTATCCTTTCATCGACAGTAAATCGAAAGCGAAAGAACTGAATCAAAGAAGAATATTCATTACTCCATGCATATATAAAGCAGTATTTGTAACAATGAGACAATAAGATACCGTGCCTTTAGGCACATAATACTATCGAAAGCGAAAGAAATGAATCAAACCCCCAATTGAGTCAGTGCAGCACATACAACTTGCAATGAAGGTGAACTTTATTGCCAGCATGTAGGCCCCTAAGTATTATAGCCGTTGTAAATTACACAAAAGCTTTCATACATCATGGAATAAAGAATATTCTTTACTCCATGCATATATAAAGCAATATTTGTAACAATGAGACAATAAGATACCGTGCCTTTAGGCACATAATACTGCCTATTCAAAATTAGTAACAAATATAGCAATGGTGAATAAAAGAATATACGAAATATTCGTTTCCTGATAAATCCAACTAGGACACATTTTCAAACAACTGATGCATGGTTTAATTTTTCACTGGGGGCACTTTTGTCTTTTTCATACAGTTGATAAAGAAATTTTTCTTTGATAGGTTATGCCTGATATGATCTTTACATCATTGTTAATTTAGCACTGTTTCTGTCATTATTTGATCAGTTATACCACAATGCTACGCAGCAACATTGATTCTATATGTTACTTCATTATGATACAGGTATGACGTCTAGAGTATTCTCTGGCAACAGTATATCATTTGTTTGAAGAAGTGTCCTGGTTGGGTTGTATCTGCGATATACCAGGGTCCCCTAGTGGTAAATATGTATGGCATTCACCTCGACAGCAAGAAATCACATTTTAATTCCCGCCGCCAGGGGCACATTTTCAAACAGTTGATATGAAACTTTTTTGTTTGTTTGATAGGCTATTACCGATACGATACACGCATCACTTTTCATTTATTCAAGCTCTGTTTTCACCATTATTTAATTATATAAACAGAGTGCTACACACAAAAATTAATATATATATATTTATTTGAAAATGATATTTAGAAATATATTCAATATTATTGTCTTCATACCATTACTTGAATGTGATATTTAATTTGTCTACATAATTTCATTTACGCTAATGTTATCTAGGCCTATATACTTTTCTTAATTTTTCTTGATGTTTCCTTTATTTCTTTTCACTTTCTCCATTACATTCATTTTCTATTCTTTTTTATTTCTTTTCCCTTTCCAGTTTTTGCTTTCTGTTCTTTCTTTTCCTTCCTTTAATTTTCTTCCCGTTTCCTTCACTTTCAATTTTTACATATGTTTATATATTATTTGAAAATGATAATTAGCCATCTCATAGACATGAGGTCTATTCGATATTAGTGTTTTCACACCATTAATTTGAATATTTGATTTATGTTTATATAATTTCATTCA